ACCCCTTCTCCTGTATAAATTATTAAATTTAAAAAGAGAAACTTTCGTTTTTCTTTTTGGGCCACCCTGCTTTGGTGGGATACGGCAGGTTTGTTGAAAAAAAAAAATGTATGTATATTATTATAATTATTATTATTATTATTATTATTATTATTATTATTAAAGAAAATACACAGTGCTAAATGTTTGAGGCAGGTTAGTTACCCTGCCTCAGAGGCATGTTAAAAAAATAAAGGTTGGCCATCACTAATCCAGTTCCATCAGTAATTTGGCACTAATTTCAGCTAGCGTAGTTTAACTCTTTCACTGTCGGTCCCGTAATATTATGGCTTGCAAGCCACTGTTGGTCCTGTAATACTATGCCAAAATTCTAGTGACTTCCTATCTTGTGAGAGAAAGCTGGTAGGCCTACACATGAGAGAATGAGTCTGAGTGGTCAGCGTGTACAGTATAAAAAAAAATTCCTGCAGCACATAGTGCATAATGAGAAAAAACTCCGACCATGTATTTGGTTTAAAACAGCGACTTTGCAGTGTATTTTCTTATGGTATTTGTGGTTGCATTCTCGTTTTCTTGGTCTCCTTTGATAGAATGGAAGATAAGTTACAGAAATAGAGATAATTTTGAGTGGTTTACGAACTAAATGTACCTTGAAATTGATCTCAAAGTAGTGGAAATGCTTAATTTTTGCCAATGTTCAATAGTAAACAAATCACGTTATGCGTCCAATACACGTCAACTGGTGGGTCTAATATGTTGTCACAAATGCGGTGATATTAGTTATACCATTTTTACAATAATGCAGTAGTCTGCATGACAGTAAATCTTCTATTTTTTGTGTTTACCTGGAGTTTACCTGGAGAGAGTTCTGGGGGTCAACGCCCCCGCGGCCCGGTCTGTGACCAGGCCTCCTTAGGTCAGTGTCCCAGGATGCGACCCACACCAGTCGACTAACACCCAAGTACCCATTTTACTGATGGGGAACATAGACAACAGGTGGAAAGAAACACATCCAATGTTTCTACTCTGGCTGGGAATCGAACCCAGGCCCTCACCGTGTGAAGCGAGAGCATTAACCACCAGGCCATCAAAATGGAAAGCAAGTGTGAAAGGGTTAAAATTTCCAGGTGTCGCCACACCAGCCTGCTGCTACTGTTTGGTGGTGCTACTTACAGCATAAGTCATTCCAATTAGTTTTCCTCCATTTATTGTTAAAACCTGCTCAATTTTAGCCCTAGCCATGGCTCCAACGAATAAAGGAAATGTTTCATGTTCTGTAAAGTGCAAACATCATTCATTGTCCATAATAGATAAGGTTGAGCTTCTGAAAAAGCTTGACAGCAGTGTGTCTGTGACATAAAGAAACAGGAAAAAAATTATTAATTTTTTTTGCTAACAGTGATTCAAAGAAATAGATGTGTAAAAGGAAAACACTGAAGGAGGTAAAAGTTCAGAACTAGATCAGGTTCTGATGAAGTGGTTTGGGCTATGTGTAAGTAAAAGGTGTTGAGCTGTCTGGAGCTCTAGTGAAGGAACAAGCCAAAATTTTTCATGAACTAGGACTAGATTATGAATGTGATTATAGTGAAGGTTAGCTGCAGTGTTTCAAGGATCGACATGCCTTAAAGTTTCATGCAGTGTGTGGTAAAAAACATTCAGTGGACATGGAAGCAGCTGTTAAATTTGTTGACGAGTTTGCCAGTTAGTTTCAGATGAAAAATTAAGTCCTGAGCAGGTCTACAATGCAGATGAGACAGCACTGTACTGGAAATGTACACCAAAAACTCTGACAAATGAGGATGCAGAATCACCAACAGGATATAAAGCATTGAAAGATCGTGTCACTGTGCTGGGATGCTCTAGTGCCACAGGAATGCACAGATGTAAGTCACTGGTCATCGGTAAAAGTTTACGTCCCAGGGCTTTCAAAGGTATGACACAGTTTCCCATGATTTACCATGCAAACAAAAAAGGATGGATAACAACTGAAATTACATTAAATTGGTTTGAAAATTATTTCGTTTCAGAAGCAAGAGTTCACTGTTACTCTGTTGGTCTAGACCACTACTGTAAGGTAATCCTAATTTTAGACATCTGTTCTGCACATCTGAAAGCAGAACTGCAGAACTGGCAAAGAACAATGTTTTCAGTATCTACTTCCCACCTAACTGCACATCATTAATTCAACCCTAGGACAATGGCATACTACGTTCTTTTAAGTCTAAGTATCACACCAATTTTATGAGGCGCCTACTGAGTGCAGTTAACTCTGGCAGACCAATACGTGAGTTTCTTAAGAAATTTAATGTGAGAGATATGGCTTACTGTGTTGCCAATGCTTGGGAGTCTGTAGAGGCATCTACACTGAAAAATGGATGGCATAAATTGTGGCCAGGGTTAATGTTTGAGACTGCACCTGGGAAAGACATTGAGAATGATTTTTACAGGATTTAGGGCTTCAAAGGAAAAACAGATTATAGTGATCTGGCTAATCCTGCTGTGAAGGATCTTGCATCATTATACTGACTCAGAAATTGTGCAGATGGTTATAAATCCACAGCAGCAAGCCAGTGGAGGACAGAGCAGTGATGAAAATGAGGAAGATGTAGCAGAAAGAATCTCTATTGATAGGTTAATTCAGTTGACAGGTGAACTGCTAAAAGGTCCAGAGCAACGCAGTTTTATAAGTGAACAAGAAATAATGAACGTTTACATGCTGCAGGATAAACTAATCAAAGAAAGGCCAAAATATATAAAACAGCTCAGCTTGCAAGATATGTTCAAAAAAAAAAAAATAGCTAAAAAACATGCAACAGAGGAGTCACCACTTGAAAATCTAGTGCCTTCAACATCTGCTCAGCCTGATGTGCTGCCAATGTCATCATCAGTTCCTGATATCTCAGTCACCTTCCAAGATGAAGAAGATAGCAATCCTGACAGCCCTTCATCTCAAGACATGTAAATATGTTTAGCTGTAAATTTCAGCTATTCACTTTGGAAGCAGCAGTGATGAACTTTCTTGTGTAAGTCAAGTTGGTTAACTTTATTAGTGTATTCTAACCTAACCACTCTGTAATCTAGCAAAATCATTAATCCGGCACCCTACAGGTCCCAATGATGCCAGATTAGTGATGGCCGACCTGTACACGTACGTGTATTATTATAGCTATGATTATTATTATTATTAATATTATTATTAAAGTAAAATACACAGTGCTAAATATTTGAAGCTAATCAGAAAAGGCATTCTCCAATTATCAGAGAAACCAATAATTCCCATTTTTTAACTGTCGGGAAATTCGCAGATTTGCACCTACATGGTTTAACCCCTTGACTGTTGCAACCCCAAATCCTGAGGTGTCTCCTAGTGTCGCAAAATTTAAAAAAGAAATAAATTATTTTTCCTTATGAAATGATAGAGAATCTTTTCCTGATTGTAATGACACCAAAAGAACGAAATTTGATGGAAAACTGACGGAATTACGCTCTCGCAAAATTAGCGACCTCGGCGATATTTATGAATCAGCGATTTTGCCCACTTTGAGCCCTATTTTCGGCTAATTCCATTGTTCCAGTCGACTAAACTCATAGCTATTTCTTTAGAACTCCATTTTCTCTATCAATTGAGTACAAGAAACTGCCCATTTACCAATTTCAACTACCCAATAACGTGGTCAGAAATTTGCAATTTGGCCAATTTCACGAAAAATAAAAAATATGACAATTTCAAAATAGGGTCCAGAATGAACAATGCAGACATTCCTGGCTCTAAAATAACATTTTCTTTGTTCATCAGTCACGTCTCCAGGCCCCTCTGATATTTCTCCAGGCCCCTCTGATATTACTCTTGTTTTCTATTTTGAATTTTTATTCAAACAAAAAATAGATTTACTGTTATGCAGACTACTGCAATATTGTAATAATTGTATAAATAATGTTAACCCATTCATGATTGCATATCAGAGTGGCTAGTTGGACATTTATTGGAAAATGACATCATTTGTTTACTTTTGAACATTGGCAAAAATCAAACATTTCCCCTACTTTGAGCTCCATTTCAAGGTTCTTTTCATAGTAAAACCAATCAAAATCACCTCTATTTCTATAATATATTTTCCGTTTTATCAAATGAGACCAAGAATGAGAATACAACCATAAATACTATAGGAAAATAGGCCACAAAGTCGGCATTTTAACCCTTAAACGGTCCAAACAGATCGACGTTCAAATTCGTAGTGCTACAAAAGTAGATCTACTTTTTTTACATATTTTCAAATATAACAAAAAAAATGTAGATAAAAGTTTTTTTTACACGTTTTCACATGTAAAACAAAAAAAAAAAGATCTACATTTTTTTACATACTTTCAGATGTTGAAAAAACGTATATATACATTTGGACCATTTAAGGGTTAATTAAAAAAAACGGTCGGAGTTTTTTTTTTTTCATTATGCACTGCGTGCTGCAGGATTTTTTTTATATGGTGCACACTGACCACACAGACCCATTCTCTCACATGTGGGCCTACCAGCTTTCTCCTGCTTGATTTGAAGCCGCTAGAATTTATGAGTATATATACGTCAAAAATGGTGGCTCGTAAGACGTATATATATAACCAAAACAGTCAAAGGGTTAATCTTACAAGGAATATCCTTATAATATGCATCAGCCATTAAAGATTTGAGTCATTTAAAAAACATTCTCAGGTTATTGTACAGAGACCAAAATCCATTTTGGGTCTATAAAATTGGCCAAAGGGCACCTACTCATGTCAATAGTTACACGAATCTTTCCCTACTTACAGTACACCAGCACTGAAAATATGAAACTAATTCAATGAGGCATTCTCAAGTTATAAACAATAACTTTGGAGGGAAAAATAAAAATTGAGCAACCACTTAAGGTATCACTTATAAGCATCTTCTCCGGGGATTCCTAATTAGCAGAGCGCTTTTTGCTTATAAAAAAATATTAAAGAACCAAAATAAAGTTTATCCTTACCATTTTCCATTAAAATTTCATTGCCATGATACATGTCTTCATATGCAGCTGCTGCAGCACTTTCTCTAGCATTAAGAGAGTATGCCTTTCCTGTGGCCCGTTCATAATAGGTCAGGAGAAAGCCACCTCCTAGACCCATTGACTGAGTATTAATCACACCTACACAAAATAGCCCTGCTACTGTTGCATCTGCTGCACTTCCATTCTTTTGTAGGATATCCCTGTTGAAAGTTTAATATTAATACACTAAAAGCACAGCTTTTAAAATATACATATTAACAATTAGATCTATAGGTTTTATAGCCATGATGGTATGATCATATGAAGCAACTGGATAATGAAAAATTTTATTTTTATTAACACATCAGCCGATTCCCACCAAGGCAGGGTGGCCCGAAAAAGAAAAACTTTCATCATTCACTCCATCACTGTCTTGCCAGAGGGCTGCTTTACATTACATGTAGTTATAAAACTCCAACATTAACACCCTTCCTTCAGAGTGCAGACACTATACTTCCTATCTCCAGGACTCAAGTCCAGCCTGCCAGTTTCCCTGAATCCCTTCATAAATGTTACTTTGCTCACACTCCAATAGCATGCCAAGTATTAAAAATCATTTGTCTCCATTCACTCCTATCAAACACTCTCATGCATGCTTACTGGAAGTTCAAGCCCCTTGCACACAAAACCTCCTTTACCCCCTCCCTCCTAGGCCGACCCCTACCCCGCCTTCCCTCCACTACAGATATATACATTCTCGAAGTCATTCTGTTTCGTTCCAATCTCTCTACATGTCCGAACCATCTCAACAACCCCTCCTCAGCCCTCTGGATGATAGTTTTGGTAATCCCACACCTCCTAATTTCCAAACTACGAATTCTCTGCATTATATTCACACCACACATTGCCCTCAGACATGACATCTCCACTACCTCCAGCCTTTTCCTTAGTGCAACATTCATCACCCATGCTTCACACCCATATAAGAGTGTTGGTATACCCATACTCTCATACATTCCCCTCTTTGCTTCCACGGACAAAGTTCATTGTCTCCACAGACTTCTACGTGCACCACTCACCCTTTTTCCCCCATCAATTCTATGATTCACCTCATCTTTCATAGACCCATTTGTTGACACATCCACTCCTAAATACGTATCTGAATGCATTCACCTCCTCCATACTCTCTCCCTCCAATCTGATATCCAATCTTCCTTCACCTAATCTTTTTGTTATCCTTATCACCTTACTCTTTCCTATATTCACTATTAATTTTCTTCTTTTACATACTCTACCAAATTCATCCACCAACCTCTGCAACTTCTCTTCAGAATCTCCCAAAAGCACAGTGTCATCAGCAAAGAGCAACTGTTACAACTCCCACTTTGTGGGAGTTGATTCTTTATCTTTTAACTCCACACCTCTTCCCAAAACCCTCACATTCACTTCTCTTCCAATCCCATCTATAAATATATTGAACAATCACGGTGACATCACACATCCTTGTCTAAGGCCTACTTTTACTGGGAAATAATCTCCCTCTCTCGTACATACTCTAACCTAAGCCTCACTATCCTCATAAAAACTCTTCACTGCTTTCAGTAACCTACCTCCTATACCATACACATGCAACATCTGCCACATTACCCCCCTATCCACCCTGTCATATGCCTTTTCCAAATCCACAAATGCCACAAAAACATCTTTAGCCTTATCTACATACTGTTCACCTATGTTTCACTGTAAACACTTGGTCTACACACCCCCTACCTTTCCTGAAGCCTCCTTGTTCATCTGCTATCCTACTCTCCGTCTTACTCTTAATTCTTTTCAATAATAACTCTACCATACACTTTACCAGGTATACTCAATAGACTTATCCCCCTATAATTTTTGCATTCTCTTTTGTCTCCTTTGCCTTTATACAAAGGAACTATGCACACTCTCTGCCAATCCCTAGGTACCTTACCCTCTTCCATACATTTATTAAATAATAGCACCGACCACTCCAAAACTAGATCCCCAACTGCTTTTAACATTTCTATCTTTATCCCATCAATCCTAGCTGCCTTACCTCCTTTCATTCTACCCACTGCCTCACGAACTTCCCCCCCGCTCACAACTGGCTCTTCCTCGCTCTTACAAGATGTTATTCCTCCTTACCCTATACACAAAATCACAGCTTCCCTATCTTCATCAACATTTAACAGTTCCTCAAAATTTTGCCTCCATCTTCCCTATACCTCTAACTCTCCATTTAATAACTCTCCTCTCCTATTTTTAACTGTCAAATCCATTTGGTCCCTAGGCTTTCTCAACTTATTAATCTCACTCCAAAACTTTTTCTTATTTTCAACCAAATTTGTTGAAACAGTACACAAAAACAGAACATGGAAAGGTAACTAGGACTGTGTTTTCTTTGCCTCATCTTCTACACTGCTTTTCCTTATAATGTAAATTTTACATGTGTATGTGAATGTATGTTGAAATGTTTTTTTCCTGAACTTAATTATTTATCTTGTGCACTGATAAGCATATATATATAGAGGCATTCTTTCTTCTTTCAACAAACTGGCCATATCCCACCAAAGCAGGGTGGCCCAAAAAGAAAAACAAAAGTTTCTCTTTTTCACTCTAGTAATGTATACAGGAGAAGGGGTTACTAGCCCCTTGCTCCCGTCATTTTAGTTGCCTCTTACGACACGCATGGCTTACAGAGGAAGAATTCTGTTCCACTTTCCCATGGAGAAAATAGAGGCATATATTTATTAATTAAGGTGATGCACAGTATTTTCCTTTTTACACTTAACTAGCTTAGTGACCTAGCCTGTCCTTGATAAATTAATGTAATATAATGTAGCTTAGTCCTACCCAGTTTATCTTGAGGCAGCCTAGATTTGGTTGGTGTTCCCTAGTATAAGTAAAGTAGTCTGAGTTTTGCTATGTCCAGATTGATTGTCATGGGGCTATTGCAATGATGAATTTGTATGTACATATACATGTATATATATTTTTAGGTATATAATGTAGTTTGAATTTTTTTTTTAAATTTTAGTTTTTGTCATCTCATTCCATGATGATTAAGGTGATATTTTACTTCATCAACCATCTCATATCAGGGTAGGGTAACTCCCCCCCCCCCCCTAAAAAAAAACATTCACCATCATTCATTTAATCATTGTCTGGCCAAAAATGTACTGACATTACAATTCTGATAACCTGACAAAAACATCACATTTGTTTCCACTGTTTAACATGTTCACACAAGCCTACTGGGTGTAAAAGCATTTACCACTCCCACCCATTTCTGGGTTGGCCCCTATCCCTGCTATTTACTTGATCATCTTATTCTCCTGTATCTTCTCCAAATGCCCATACCACCTCAACAATCTCTCATCAACCCTCTAAATTATATACCCTTAGTAACCCCACACTGTCTTCTAATTTCTATGCTCTTAATTCTTTGTACAGATAATTAATTTGCATCATACACTGCCCTCAACATAACTCCACTACCTCTAGCTGCCTCCATATGTTGCACCCATATAAAAAAATGTTGGATCCACTATACTCTGGTATATTACCGTTTTTGCCTCCATTGATACTGATTTCTGTCCATAGATGCCTCAGCACACCACCTACCTTCTTTTTCCCCTCCTAGTCCATTCTATGATGAAGATACCTTCAGAGACCCCATTTTTCTTGTGTTTGATATAGGCCACCCTGAGAGATGGCAATTTCCAAGTAAAGTAACTCCAGTTTTGCTGGAACAAAACCTTTCAAGTTCTGTAACTGATCAGTTGGAATACTTGACACTGTACTTATTACCCTACCGAATTCTTCCAGCTCAGGCTGACAGATTTTATTACTTGATGTATGAAATTCATCTTAAGTGATGAAATAATGCAGAAACATAGTGTGTTTTTGTTTCTACTGTGTAACTGCCATATTGAATAGGATAGAACAATGCTGGTGAATCAGTTTTATTTAATAAAAAATTTACTTTAATATCTTTCTACATCTGCTAAGCACCCAGCCAGCTTTGCTTTGAAAATTTAATACACTAAATGACAACAACCTAGGTAGTAGGTTGGTAGACAGCAACTGCCCAGGGAGGTACTACCGTCCTGCCAAATGAGTGTAAAACAAAAGCCTGTAATTGTTTTACATGATGGTAGGATTGCTGGTGTCCTTTTCTCTGTCTCATAAACATGCATGATTTCAGGTATGTCTTGCTACTTCTACTTACACTTAGGTCACACTACACATACAATTTTTTTTTTTTAACAAGTCGGCCGTCTCCCACCGAGGCAGGGTGACCCAAAGAGAAAGAAAATCCCCAAAAAGAAAATACTTTCATCATTCAACACTTTCACCTCACTCACACATAATCACTGTTTTTGCAGAGGTGCTCAGAACACAACAGTTTAGAAGCATATACGTATAAAGATACACAACATATCCCTCCAAACTGCTAATATCCCAAAACCCCTCCTTTAGAGTGCAGGCATTGTACTTCCCATTTCCAGGACTCAAGTCCAGCTATATAAAAATAACCGGTTTCCCTGAATCCCTTCACTAAATATTACCCTGCTCACACTCCAACAGATCGTCAAGTCCCAAATATCATTCGTCTCCATTCACTCCTATCGAACACGCTCATGCACACCTGCTGGAAGTCCAAGCCCCTCGCCCACAAAACCTCCCTTACCCCTTCCTTCCAACCTTTTCGAGGACGACCCCTACCCCGCCTTCCTTCTCCTACAGATTTAAATGCTCTCCATGTCATTCTACTTTGATCCATTCTCTCTAAATGACCAAACCACCTCAACAACCCCCTCTTCAGCCCTCTGACTAATACTTTTATTAACTCGACACCTTCTCCTAATTTCCACACTCCAAATTTTCTGCATAATATTTACACTACACATTGCCCTTAGACAGGACATCTCCACTGCCTCCAACCGCCTCCTCGCTGCTGCATTCACAACCCAAGCTTCACACCCATATAAGAAAGAGTGTTGGTACTACTATACTTTCATACATTCCCTTCTTTGCCTCCATAGATAACGTTTTTTGACTCCACATATACCTCAACGCACCACTCCCCTTTTTTCCTTCATCAATTCTATGATTAACCTCATCCTTCATAAATCCATCCGCCGACACGTCAACTCCCAAGTATCTGAAAACATTCACTTCTTCCATACTCCTCCTCCCCAATTTGACATCCAATTTTTCTTTATCTAAATCATTTGATACCCTCATCACCTTACTCTTTTCTATGTTCACTTTCAACTTTCTACCTTTACACACTCTCCCAAACTCATCCACTAACCTATGCAATTTTTCTTTAGAATCTCCCATAAGCACAGTATCATCAGCAAAAAGTAACTGTGTCAATTCCCATTTTGAAATTTGATTCCCCATAATTTAATCCCACCCCTCTCCAGAACACTCTAGCATTTACTTCTTTTACAACCCATCTATAAATATATTAAACAACCATGGTGACATTACACATCTCTGTCTAAGACCTACTTTTACCGGGAAGTAGTCTCCCTCTCTTCTACACACCCTAACCTGAGCCTCACTATCCTCATAAAAACTCTTTACAGCATTTAGTAACTTACCACCTATTCCATATACTTGCAACATCTGCCACATTGCTCCCCTATCCACTCTATCATATGCCTTTTCTAAATCCATAAATGCAATAAAAACTTCCCTACCTTTATCTAAATACTGTTCACATATATGCTTCAATGTAAACACTTGATCTACACATCCCCTACCCATTCTAAGACCTCCTTGCTCATCCGCAATCCTACATTCTGTCTTACCTCTAATTCTTTCAATAATAACCCTACCGTACACTTTTCTTGGTATACTCAATAAACTTATTCCTCTATAATTTTTACAATCTCATACATACCCCTCTGGGTTTTCTTCTATTTTCTTTTTAGTTCTTCTTCTTGTTTATTTTCTCTTATCTCCATGGGGAAGTGGAACAGAATTCTTCCTCCGTAAGCCATGCGTGTTGTAAGAGATGACTTAAAATGCTGGGAGCAGGGGGCTAGTAACCCCTTCTCCTGTATATATTACTAAATGTAAAAGGAGAAACTTTCATTTTTCCTTTTGGGCCACCCTGCCTCGGTGGGATACGGCCGGTGTGTTGAAAGAAAGAAAGAAATGACAACATATGTATAATATGCTCTGAATGCTATAGCCCATAATTGAATGAATACTGTTTTGTAAATTATTTAAAAGTAATACTGGACAAGGATTAGTTCAGAATATAAGAAGCTTACATTAAAGGCTTTATATTATGATATGAGTTCATGAAGAGACAACACAGTGTCAGAAGCCCAAGACTGTTGAACTGCCTCTGGCATACATAAGGGGGATTACCAATAGACCTCTGGCTGTCTTCAAGCAGGCACTGGACAGGCACCTAAAGACAGTACCTGACCAGCCAGGCTGTAGTTTGTATGTCAATTTATATGTGGCCAGCAGTAACAGCCTGGCTGATCAGGCCCTAATCTATTGCAAGGCATGGTCAAGGACCAGGCCACACGGGTGTAACCCCAGGAGCACCCTCCAGGTATACTCCAGGTATGTTATGGGAAATGCACTTGTAGCAAAAATTTGAGTAGTGTGAGGAATGAAAGATGAAAGGAAGATGCTCATGTGGTATGTAATCTGTTCTCCTGGATAATATACATATATTAAGGATGACAAGCAGTAGTGTAATCATGACCGGTTTCGAGAGTTTCCTATTCTCAGAGCCTGGTCTGGAGCCAGACTTTTCTGCTGATTTACTGTTCAACCAGAATGTTGCTATAGACAACCCACTGGCCCACATACCCATCACTGCCTGGTTGACAGAAGTCGTGATCCAGTTTCTTCTAAAAAAAATCTATACTTGTTCTGGCAGTATTTTTGATATCAACTGTAAGCAAGCTGAATAGCCATGGACCACAAATGTTAACAGTGTTCTTGCAATGTGCCCATGCTTTTCACATTATCTATTTGTAACTTCCTCCCATATCTCTCCAGTATATACGTTGTTATGGGAGTGTAGACTGAAGAAAAACAACACAAATCACCAAATCAAAAATAATTGTTATGTATAAAGGCATAGTAAGCAAACAATCATGGAAAAGCAGACAGGGTTTGCTAGTAATTGGATTACTGATAATGCATGTACTTCAAACTTACGTAGCAATCTGTGCACATGGCTGACCATCAGCACTGACTGCTGCAATATCAAATTCTCCAAGCAATGATGGTGATGGAGGTGGTACCGTGGCCTCATAAATATTTTCATCAAATTTGTTGATGCCATCCCAAGTCTCAAACAATCCTGATCTTGAAGATGTTATCTGCAATTTAATTACATCAAGTATATAAAATAAAAAAAATTAAATTTAACAAGAAATTTCAAAAGAAGTCAAGGTAAAGTAACAATAAAAAATTTATAAACACTGCGAAGAGGTTCAATGAGAATAGAAGAGACAGAAAAGATTACTTTTGCAAAGTAACAGGTTCACACCAACCTGTCAAATTGTTTCTCAAAAAATGAATATAGTATAGTTTGTAATCAGACTAAAATTAACGAAAATTAAAAGTTAATAAAATCTGTCAAGTATGCTAGGCAATGTACATAGCAGATTTACTATTGAAAGAGTTTGAGGTAAGACAGCAATAAGATTATCAACGAACAAAGATTGGGGAAGGGGAGGGGACACATAGACTAGACATTAATATTGAAGCATGTATTGTAAATGAACAATGTACTATCTAGATAAAAGTAAGGAAAGGGAGTAGAGCAGCTGATATTGATGGGATCTAGATAGAAATGTTAACCCTTAACCCCTTGACTGTCGCAACCCCAAATCCTGAGGTTTCTCCTGGTGTTGCAAAATTTCAAAAAAAAAAAAAAAAAAATTCTTATGAAATGATAGAGAATCTTTTCCTGATTGTAATAACACCAAAAGAACAAAATTTGATGGAAAACTGACGGAATTACGCTCTCGCAAAGTTAGCAACCTCGGCGATATTTACGAATCGGCGATTTCACCCACTTTGAGCCCTATTTTTGGCTAATTCCATTGTTCCAGTCAACTAAACTCATAGCTATTTCTTTAGAACTCTATTTTTTCTATCGATTGAGTACAAGAAACTGCCTATTTACCGATTTCAACTACCTAATAATGTGGTCAGAAATTTGCAATTTGGCCAATTTCACGAAAATTAAAAAATATGACAATTTCAAAACAGGGTCCAGAATGAACAATGCAGACATTCCTGGCTCTAAAATAACATTTTCTTTGTTCATCAGTCATGTCTCCAGGCCCCTCTGATATTACTCTTGCTTTCTATTTTGAATTTTTATACAAACAAAAAATAGAAGATTTACTGTTATGCAGACTACTGCAATATTGTAATAATTGTATAAATAATGTCAACCCATTCATGATTGCATATTAGAATGGCTACTTGGACATTTGTTGGAAAATGACATCATCTGTTTACTTTTGATCATCGGCAAAAATCAAACATTTCCCCTACTTTGAGCTCCATTTCAAGGTTCTTTTCATAGTAAAACCAATCAAAATCACCTCTATTTCTATAATATGTTTTCCATTCTATCAAACAAAACCAAGAAAACAAGAATACAACCATAAATACTATAGGAAAATAGGCCACAACATCAGCATTTTAATTAAGAAAAAACGGTCAGAGTTTTTTTTTTCTCATTATCCACTGCGTGCTGCAGGATTTTTTTTATATGGTGCACACTGACCACACAGACCCATTCTCTCATATGTGGGCCAACCAGCTTTCTCCTGCTTGATTTGAAGCCGCTAGAATTTATGAGCTGCCGTTTTTGACATATATGTCAAAAACGGTGGCTTGTAAGATGTATATATACGACCAAAACAGCCAAAGAGTTAAACTGTCCAAACAGATCTACGATGACGTGCATAGCGCTCTGATCATAGATTACGTTTTTTCTTACATAAGAAAGCATGTAAAATCGGACGTAGATCTACGTCCAGAGTGCTACACATATCAACGTAGATCTACGTCCGGAGCGCTACACACATCAATGTAGATCTATGTTTGGACAGTTTAAGGGTTAAAAGCAAGTGGGGATATAGTTTTGGAATGGTTAGTACTGTACATACTTTTATTTAATAAATGTATGAGTGAGGGAAGGTACCTAGGGACTGGCAGAGAGCATACATACAGTATTTCCTTTGTATAAAGGCAAAGGGGACAAAAAGAGAAGGTAAGAATTATAAAGAAATAAGCCTGTTGAGTATACCTAGTAAGGTGTATGGTTGAATTATTATTGAAAGAATTAAGAGTAAGAAAGAGCAGGATTGCAGATGAACAAGGAGGCTTTAGGTACGGTAGGGGATGTGTAGACCAAGTGTTTACAGTGAACCATATGAGTGAGCAGTATTTAGATAAGGGTAAGGAGGTTTTCGTTGCATTTATGGATTTGGAAAAGGTATATGATAGGGTGGATAGGGAAGCAATGTAGCAGATACTGAAAATGTATAGAATAGGTGGTAAGTTACTGAAAGCTGTTACAAGTTTTTATGAGGATAGTGAGGCTCAGGTTAGGGTATGTAGGAGAGGGGGAGATAATCTCCCAGTAAAAGTAGGCCTTAGACAGGGATGCGTGATGTCACCATGGTTGTTCAATATATTTGTACATAGAGCTGTAAGAGAAGTGAGTGCTCAGGTGTTGGAAAAAGGCATGTGACCGAAAAATACAAACTCGAATACAAAGTGGGAGTTGTCACAGTTGCTTTTGGGAGATTCTGAAGAGAAGTTACAGAGGTTGGTGGACGAATTTGGGAGGGTGTGTAAAAGGAAATTGAAAGTGTACATAGGAAAGAGCAAAGTGACAAGAATAACAAAAAAAAAAATTAAGTGATGAAAGATTGGATATCAGATTGGAGGGAGGGAGTATGGAGGAAGTGAATGTGTTCAGATATCTGGGAGCTGACTTGTCAGCAGATGGGTCTGTGAGAGATGAGGTGAACCACAGAACTGATGAGGGGGAAAAAGGTGAGTGGTGCACTGAGGAGTCAGTTAAAACAAAGGATGTTATCCTTGGAAGCAAAGAGGGGAATGTATGAGAGTACAGTGGTACCAATGCTCGTAAATGGGTGCAAATCCGTGGTGATGAATGTTGCAACAAGGGACGGCTGGGGAAGTGAAGATGTGTCTATGGGTAATGTGTAGTGTGAATATTATGCAGAGAATCCGTAATCTGCAGATTAGAAGGAGGTGCAGGGTTTCTAAAAGAATTATCCAGAGGACTGACGAGGGGTTGTTGAGGTGGTTCAGACATGCAGAGAGGATGGAACAAAATGGAATGACTTGGAGGGCATTTAAATCTGTAGTGAAAGGAAGGTGAGGAAGGGGTCATCCTATTAAAGGTTGGAGGGAGTCAGTAAAGGAGGTTTTGTGTGCAAGGGGTTTAGATAGGAGTGGAGGCAAATAGTTTTTATGACATAACGTGCTGTTGGAGTGTGAGCAAAGTAACATTTATGAAGGGATTCAAGGCAACCAGTTAGCTTGACTTAGAGTCCTGGAGGTGTAAAGTACAGTGCCTGCACTCTGAAGGAAGGGTGGAGATATGTTGCAGTTTTCGAGCTGTAGTATCAGCATGCCTCTGGCAAGACAGTGATGCAGAGAATGATGATGATGAAAGTGTTTCTTCTTTTTTGGGTCACCCTGCCTTGGTGGGAAAGAGCTTATGTGTTAATAAAAAACAAATTAAAAAAAGTAAGGAACTGTTTGTTGCATTTATGGATTTAGAAAAGGCATATGATAGAGTGGATAGGGAAGCAATGTGGCAAATGTTGTTAATGTATGGAATATGTAGCAGGTTACTAAAAGTAGTAAGAGTTTTTATGCAGATAGTGAGGCTCAGATTAAGGGTAAGCAAGAGAAAAGACATTTTCCGGTAAAAGTAGGCTTGGTTGCTAAACATATTTATAGATGGAATCATAAAAAAAGTGAATACGTATAGATTAACCCTTTCAGGGTCCGTCCCGTAGATCTACGGCTTTACGTTCAGGGTCCAAACCGTAGATCTACGTCATGAGCTCAGCTCACTCTGATAAACTGTGAGTGGTACACTTGGGCCTTGATATGAGAGAATACATCTATGTGGTATGTGTGCACCACATAAAACAAATCCTGCAGCACACTGTGTATAATGAGAGAAAAAAACTGAAACCAAGATTTTCGATTAAAACAGCAACTTTGCAGTGTTTTTTCATATGTTTTTTAGTTGTATTTGCAATTTCTTGATCTCATTTGATAGAATGGAAGACATATTACAGAAATAGAGATGATTTTGATTGGTTTTAGCACTGGAAATGGCTTGAAACTGAGCTCAAAGTAGCGGAAATGTTAAATTTTTGCCGATGTTCAAGAGTAAACAAACGACCTCACACGTCTAATACACGCCAGCTGGTGGGTCTAATATACATTCACAAATGTGGTGATGATATTTATATAATTATTACAATATTGCATAACAGTAAATCTTCTATTTTTTGGCGTGAATAAAAATTCATTATGTGAATAAAAAATCAAAATGGGATTTATTTGTAAAGCCTCAAAACGTAACTAATGAACAGAGGAAATGTTAGTTTAGTGCCAGGAATGCCTACATTGTTTATTCTGGACGCTTTTTTGAAATTGGAATATTTTGAACTTTGTGTTAAATTGGCCAAATTACCAATTTCCGATCACTTTATTTTGTAGTTGAAACAGTTGACTTGACGATTTCTTGTGCTCAATCGATAGAATAGAAGTAATACTAGTGAAATAGCTAAGAATTTGGTCAACTGGAATGATGTAATTGGCCTAAAATGGGAGTCAAAGTCGGTAAAATCGCCGATTCGTAAGTATCGTTGACACATCAAAATTCGCGAGAGCATAATTTCGTCAATTTTCCATCAAATTTCGTACTTTTTGTTTTATTGCCTTCACAAAAAGATTCTCTACCATTTCATAAGAAAAAATAACAAATTTTTGGGGGGAAAATTCTTGGACACTGGGGCACCACTTCAGATTTTGGCCTTGGACCCTGAAGGGGTTAAATCGTAATAAGCAGCAGTAGAAAAAGCATGTCAGATCATTTATTTAACTTTGCTTTAGTTTAGTGATACATACCTGACTGCTGCTGCCACTGGGGTTAGCCTGCTGAATACCTGAAATGTGGTTTATGAATTATTGTATTGTACTTTAATATATGTAAGATACTATCACCATACAATTCAATAAAGCAATGTTTATACTCTCCCATATTAGTTAAACTGCATATTCATTACTATCACTCATCAAATGATTACTAGAGTACTGTATGCAGGGGAAGAGCTAAATGCCTAAGGGAAATGGGAGGCTATAATGTATGCATATTTTGGAAGGCAAACCTCACTTAACAATGAGGCTGATTTCGTGGAAAAAGCCTTTCATTATGGGAACTTAAGTTAATTCAAATTATCCTGACCCCCATTAAATAAACTGCGGTATATTAGTGAAAAAAAAATCCCTAAGAAGTGTTACAAACTGAAAATTACACAGCGTATACTATTTAATAAAAAAAATACTGCATATTATGTAATATTAACCCTTTCAGGGTCCGTCCTGTAGATCTACGGCTTTACGTTCAGGGTCCAAACCGTAGATCTACGCCTTGAGCTCAACTCACTCTGATAAACTGTGAGTGGTACATTTGGGCCTAGATATGAGAGAATACATGTATGTGGTATGTGTGCACCACATAAAACAAATCCTGCAGCACACTGTGTATAATGAGAGGAAAAACCGAGACCATGATTTTCGATTAAAACAGCGACTTTGCAGTGTTTTTTCGTATGTTTTTTATAGTTGTATTTGCGATTTCTTGGTCTCATTTTATAGAATGGAAGACATATTACAGAAATAGAGATGATTCTGATTGGTTTTAGCACTGGAAATGGCTTGAAACTGAGCTCAAAGTAGCGGAAATGTTAAATTTTTGCCGATGTTCAAGAGTAAACAAACGACCTCACACGTCTAATACACACCAGCTGGTGGATCTAATATACATTCACAAATGTGGTGATGATATTTATACAATTATTACAATATTGCATAACAGTAAATCTTCTATTTTTTGGTGTGAATAAAAATTCATTATGTGAATAAAAAATAAAAATGGAATTTATTTGTAAAGCCTCAAAATGTAACTAATGAACAGAGGAAATGTTAGTTTAGTGCCAGGAATACCTACATTGTTTATTCTGGACCCTATTTTGAAATTGGAATATTTTGAACTTTGTGTTAAATTGGCCAAATTACCAATTTCCGATCACTTTATTTTGTAGTTGAAACAGTTGACTTGGTGATTTCTTGTGCTCAATCGATAGAATAGAAGTAATACTAGTGAAATAGCTAAGAATTTGGTCGACTGGAATAATGTAATTGGCCTAAAATGGGAGTCCAAGTCGGCAAAATCGCTGATTCGTAAATATCGCTGACACAAAATTCGCGAGACTATAATTTCGTCAATTTTCCATCAAATTTCGTACTTTTTGTTTTATTACCTTCACAAAAAGATTCTCTACCATTTCATAAGAAAAAATAACAAATTTTTTTTTTTTAAATTCTTGGACACTGGGGCACCACTTCAGATTTTGGCCTTGGACCCTGAAGGGTTAATACTCACCAAAGAGTATATTACATTAGCATACTTAATGTCTTGGCTTGTAGGAAAAATGTTGATGTGGTGAACTGCAATGCCAACAACCTAACAACCTATTTTCCCCAGTTTCAAAATATCAAATAACATCAGATTTCACATCTAAGTTACTGTAACAGTCTTTCTCTTAGGAATTACATGACTGCATGCCTTATCACTTGAGTAGCCTTTCAGAACTTATGATGGATAGAACAGAGCATAAACAAACATTATATTAAACACTGACAGATATTATTAAGGAAAATCTACATCATCTGAGATTAATATCTGTACTCTATCATATATCTTAAAAAAAAGGGGTTGTTAGCCAAGTCTACAGTTATTAACCCCAAGATCCACTCATTATGTGCCAAGGGATCATTTAACCCTTTGTCTCCGTCTACACACATATGAGTTCCTACATCTACATGATGCCAGTGTCACTCATGCAGATCTACATCACTGATGCCAGTGTCACTCATGCAGATCTACATCACTAATGCCAGTGTCACTCATGCAGATCTGCATCACTGACGCCAGTGTCACTCATGCAGATCTACATCACTGATGCCAGTGTCACTCATGCAAATCTAAATCACTGATATCAGTGTCACTCATGCAGATCTACACCATTGATGCCGGTATCACTCATACAGATCTACATCACTGATGCCAGTGTCCCTCATGCAGATCTACATCACTGATGCTAGTGTCACTCATGTAAATCTACATTTTAAGCACAAGGAAATACAGCATAATGCAATCAATGATAATTTGGAAGAGTACTGTATACTGAAAGATAAATCTCTACAGAAAAAGCAAGATAAATCTGATTAAGAGAAAATGGCTCAAGGGTATATAATTCGGTGTCAGGACATGAACTAGTAAGCAGGATGGCACTGTCATATTTTACCACATGACGTTTACCTGAAAATGACTTGGGATCACTGCCCAACCATCCTGGTCCCAGACCTAGTCTCCTGATTTACAGTCTAATGAACTAAGCAGTTGGTACTAGCTGTGTGCAACCCAGCTGATTAGGAACTAACTAGAGAAACTTATCCAGTTCTTTTAAGATAGAGGTTTGTTAGTAATTTCCCTTATGTATGAAAGAAGATTGTTAAAAAAATATTGGTTCCTCTACTCTTAATGAATTTCATGTCTCATTATACTCATCTCACCCATGCTTTTCACTGGAGGTATTTTCCAGTGTCAGCCGAGTCTCTTGCTCTTATAGGGAGTACTTTCAGACTTAGGAGGACAGAATGTTAATCAACTGTGAAGCAATGCCAGAGAAGTTCCAGTAGAGTAGGAAAGTATCAGTCCAGAGTGGAAACAAATGCTTTGAACTTGGGGATGGCTAAGGATTTACCTGTCTCCAGAGTTCATGTACATGTACTAGGTACCTGGAATGCCTATAAGACTGTATCAATATCCAAGAGGGCATGGAGGTAGACTTGAGAGAGAAAGCAATGGGGAATTGGATCTGCCATGCTCATGAGCAAGGCAGGTTCAAGTCCCATAAGGAAAAATTAGTATTCAAATTCAAATTCAAATTCAAACTTTATTCTCTATAAGTATTATAATGCTGAGTTTACAGAATTTGGTTATTGTGTGGTTTACATGTAGTAAAATAATAATTACAGAGTGTACCACTAGAACGCCTAGCATGGCTAGGCATTTCGGGCAGACTTATATTAAATCTTAGGTTTAAAATGTTACAAAATTATGAGATAAGTTGGTATTATGGCTAAGTGACTAAATACTAGTTGTGAGTTTAGCAATGTGAATGCTTTTGTTTTGGCACTATACATAGTTTCAGTATTGGAGTATAACAGGCCAACTTATGACTAGTTAAGATTCATTATTTTGAGATTGAGATTGATATTTCTGTTTATGGTCAAATGGGTGAGTGAGTGTAAGTGTGAACCACCAGGTGGTATTCGTATTATTAGTTGACAGGGTGTATCAGGCAGATAAGAAATACTTTCTGACTTAGGAAAAGGCAGACAGTATCAGAAAGTGAAAGGAGCAGACTGAGAAACACTGTGGAACAGGTTGGGTGAGTCAAGAATGAGAGTAGCGGAAGTAGTATGTGAAGCAGTCAAAAAAGCCAGTCAACTAATTTGTTTTACTTTTATTCTTCGACAGTGCTTCCCTGATTTTGCTTTCTGTCAAATCAATGGAAAGCATTGGTTTTAAATGATGCTGAAGACTCAAATCAAATAAAGCTCTGGTAACATCACAATTGGAGATGTTGCACACTTTTTTATCAATATTTTGAACTGTTTGGTTGAACTTCCAGTACTTTAGGTTTCATTATATCTAAATGTAATCCTGATGCTGCCCTATGGATGTCTTATGGCTGTACCAGTCAATTGCAAATGGATGGTACAAGATAAATGCCAAAAATTTGAAGAGTCGTACTAAAGATAAATTCTACAAAAAAAAAAAGAAGGTGGCTCAAGCGCTTCGATTTTTTCGGTTCGGCATAACTAGAAAACCATATTTACCATACAACAAAATAAAATGCCCAAATCACCTCCCAATATCTGAATAAGCGTTGTACACTGTGCAACTCCAGCCCTGATTAAATCTGATATTCAATCTTTCATAACCTAATCTTTTTGTTATTCCTCATAACCTTTACATATTTCCTCTATTCAGAAATGAAAATTCAAAGGGTATTACTGGAGGTAAGAGTAAGGTTATGGGATAACAAAAAGATATGTGATGAAAGAGAAGTTCCAGTGAGAGGAAAGTATGAGGAGAGTGAAACGTTTAGAATTTGGGGAGTGGATTCCTGTCTCCGGAGGTTCATGTACAGATAGGTCCTGGAATCATAGAATTATGAGGGAATGAAGTAGCTGAGAGAGAGCACTGGGATTCGTCTGAAATCCAAAGAACAGTTGTCCATGAAGGCAAAGAGTACGAAATTTAAAATTCAGATTTATTTTATAAGTCTTATATGGGTTTAAGAAGGTTGTGGTGAATGAAAATATTGCACAGAGTGACAAGAAGGCTGGAGGCAGTGGAGATTATTAATCTTAGGTAAAATGTTCATATGGTGTGAGTATTATGGCAGGATAAATACTAGTTTGGAAAGTTTAGGAAGGGTGAGGGATTTTGCAAAACTGTTGTCCAGAGGAGTAAGGAAGGTTGTTGAGTGGTTAAGATTCATTAGAGAATGAGATTAAATTTACTGTTAGTCAAAGAGTGTATCAGTGTGTAAAGGTGGAGGAAGGACAGGGTGAAAGGGGTCTTCTGACTAGGAAAGGGACAGAAGGAAGTAAAGGAGGTTGAGTGTGGAACGGTTGGACTGAGTCCAGCAGGCATGCGGAGGTAGTATGTGAAGCAGTCAATAAAGAGAACAATGTTTTTTTAATCTTCGACGTGCTGTTTGAGTGTCTGCAAAGTAACATTGTTTAAATGGATTCGGGGAAACCATCAATGCCGGACATCCTGGAGATGGGAACACATCATACTTTGAAGGTTTGGGTGAATTGTTGTCAGGTTATTAAAATGTATGTGCCCCTTTGGGTGAAAGGGGGACCAGTGATGGATAATGATGGTAAAGATAAATGCATTTTGGGCGTACAACCTGCCAAATGGTGGGCATCGCCGCCCGGTTGCTTACATAAAAAAAAAAAAAAAAAGTACAATATGAAACTGATAACTCATAAATGAAAATGCATTGCACATTAGTTGCACTTGTGTCCTTTTACTTTACATATTGTCGGTAATTCTACCAACTTTATTACAACATTTTTGTGAATGATTTTGAAAAAGACAACAAGACAGACTTACCAACACCAAGGCCAATTGCAATGGCTGCAATGCAAGCCACCCCCAACAGTCCACATAATACCAACTGCTTTTTGGTCAACTGTACCCTGTCAGAGATAAGTAATAGTGAGATACAAAAGTAATATTATGCTCTTTTCAGTGAGAAAGAAAATATATTACTGTACTCTGAGTTTTATAGGCCTTTTCCACGATGCTAAATAATGGCAATTTTATGACAAAAATAAAGAATAATTTATGTCAATTAGGAGTTTATCCCATTGACTTAAGCAGATTGTAGCTTACATAGGAACAAATAGTTGGCCTTTTATATATTTTGAAATTGAATTCATAGTCTTTGTTTTAACTAAAACATCTAGAAATGGTAGCTGCAGATAGCTTGTGGGCACACATCAATGCACTATATTAAAGGTGAGCAACTTCACCTCCCCTCTGAACCTGTAACCACAAGTTTAAAGCTTTTCAAAAACAAATAAAAATCTATTGTAACTGCAAGATAATTATTTTAATACATATATAGTGACAGTAGGGTTTACATTGCTTTTAATATTATTATTTTTGGCTTTACATTGCTTTTTTTATTTTCAACATTGGGGGGTTTACTAAAAAAAATTAGGACACATTTTATGACAGTTTGCACTAATTAGCAAGAAAGAGGTAGGCATGTTAAAAATCATACAAGAGAATGGGCTGGTTTATATATACAATGGAACCTCTTTTTCGACCATAATCTGTTCCAGAAGGTCGGCCTAAATTCGAAGCAATATTTCCCCTAAAATTAATGTAAATACAATTAATCCGTTCCAAACACCCAAAAATATTCACAAAAAATACATTTTATAAAGATTATAGTTTTATATACACAAAACAATGAGAACTAAATCAAATAAATTAAGAACATTTAAATCACTATTACATACCTTTTTTGAAGAATCTTGTTGGCTTATGAAGACAGGAGAGGAGGAGAGAGGGAGGGCAGATTATTGTTTGGAAGGGGAATTCCCCTCCATAAGAACTTTAGGTAACAAGTCCCTCTCTGGGGTTACTTCCCTTCTTTGTTTTTTAATGCCATTAGGACCAGTCAAGTCAGTAAATCATTCAGTAAGTCATTCAGTCAGTCAAGTCATTCGGTCAGTCAAGTCATTTGGTCAGTCAAGTCATTCAGTCAAGTCAATAAGTTATTCAGTAAGTCAGTCAATTCAGTAAGTCATTCAGCCAAGTCATAAAGTCATTCAGTAAGTCAGTCAGTCAATCACACATACTCATATTTATGTCATTTTATGTGCACAGTGACACTTCATTACTGCCATAGGTTATATCTCTTGTCTAATATCTCTGTTTTCTTAGTTAATTCTATGACTTAAATGCTTAAACCTTTTCTTGCCACTTTCAGCAACACTTGTATATGCCTATTGGGTGTCATGATTGCTTGGCAGATTTAAGATATGGCAATTAAAATACAAATGTAAAGAAATACAGCAAGCTTCCCGAGTATCGTCCTACACATGTATGAACCAACTGAAAACTGGGAGGGTGGTGTAGGTGGCTGAGGGTGGTGGGGGATTGCAGTAGGTCTCCCTCATTGACTCAATGGGTTAACCCACCGCCAATCCCGCGGGCGACCGTGTGCTCAGAATTTTTTCCTCTTCCACGAACCATGTTAAATTAATTTTACGAAATGTTACATAAAATTGTGCCACAGTTCTTCAATCGAGCTATACCCAAATTGTGCCAAATAAACTCATGTTAAATGACGGTCTACTGTATATCGTATTTTGCGGCTTATTAAATGCATGTTTTTTCCATAAAATGTCTCCAAAAACCACCCTGTGTCCTATAAACAGAAGGTCAGTGATGGGAGCTATAAATTTGCAGTGTGGGGTGGGCTGTAGCTCTCCCAGTTACGTCCGATGCCAAGCATTGAAACTAAAACAAGTCTTATAAGCCGTGTCTTATAAGCCGCATCTTATAAGCCGCAAAATATGAACTCAGCTTAAAGTGAGTGGTGAATATATCTATTGTAGGAAGTCTTAAATACACAAAGAATGGGTTTAACTGAAAACTGTTGTATTAGCGAAACGCTGTTAAACGAAGTGCTGTAAAGTGGAGCCCATCTGTACTCCACATTCCATAAAAATATTGGTCCATAAAGGATGATGTATTTTATTTATGGAGATGCACTAGGGAATGGGAAGTAATCAAGTTTGATTTGTGGAAGAGGAAGGTTGCTCTAGTTCCTTACATCAAGAGCGCTTCACTTGCAACTTCCAGAAATAGAATGCCATAAATCATTTATACTTTGTCATTCTAGGTCAAATATAAATCCCTCAAAAATTAAGCTCCAGTGCTTCTGAACAAGAGCCTTTTGCCTATGTAGTAGATATGTCTTGAAAGCACCTTATTAATAAGATCACTGGAAATTTGGTCATGATGTACTTTTTTCCCCAGGATAGAAATCCTTAAATATTATATGTTATAAATAACAATCATGTCATATGTTCTTTGGGAAAAAATTATATGCTGTACAAATTGTTTATTTAGGTCATAACAGACAAAATATGAATATAATTTATTATGTTTATTCTTTTAATTAAGTAGATAGTGCAATGGAGACATATTTTAAACATATAGGAGAAGAGCTTTATTTTTATAAGTAAATTAAACAACATAACCCAACTAAACCATCCCTAACCTAGAACAGCTGTAAAATTGTTGGTTACGTCAGGTTTGGTAACATTAAGTTGGGAGTGATTATGTCGGAGGATCTCACCTTCAAGGACCATAACATTGTATCAATCGCATCTGCTAGAAAAATGACAGGATGGATAATGAGAACCTTCAAAACTAGGGAGGCCAAGCCCATGATGACACTCTTCAGGTCACTTGTTCTATCTAGGCTGGAATATTGCTGCACTCTAACAGCACCTTTCAAGGCAGGTGAAATTGCCGACCTAGAAAATGTACAGAGAACTTTCACGGCGCGCATAACGGAGATAAAACACCTCAATTACTGGGAGCGCTTGAGGTTTCTAAACCTGTATTCCCTGGAACGCAGGAGGGAGAGATACATGATTATATACACCTGGAAAATCCTAGAGGGACTAGTACCGAACTTGCACACGAAAATCACTCACTACGAAAGCAAAAGACTTGGCAGACGATGCACCATCCCCCCAATGAAAAGCAGGGGTGTCACTAGCACGTTAAGAGACCATACAATAAGTGTCAGGGGCCCGAGACTGTTCAACTGCCTCCCAGCACACATAAGGGGGATTACCAACAGACCCCTGGCAGTCTTCAAGCTGGCACTGGACAAGCACCTAAAGTCAGTTCCTGATCAGCCGGGCTGTGGCTCGTACGTTGGTTTGCGTGCAGCCAGCAGCAACAGCCTGGTTGATCAGGCGCTGATCCACCAGGAGGCCTGGTCACAGACCGGGCCGCGGGGGCATTGACCCCCGAAACTCTCTCCAGGTAAACTCCAGGCTGTCACGTAGAACTGCGTCACTGAAGCCAGGGTCCCCTCATGTAGTTCTGTCATGATCTCAGTTGACTTAGATAAGCTGTGAGTGGTAAACTTTGGTCTAGATGTGAGAGAAAGGGTCTGTGCGGTGAGTATGCACAGTATAAAAACAAATCCTGCCCCACACGGTGCATGATGGGAAAAGCAATCCTCTTTGAGGTGTGTTCTAGGATGAAGGTATGTTGCACTGCCTACCGAGTCTTTTGCTTTCATAGGGATTGATTTTCATATGCAAATTTGGTAATAATCCCTCTAGGATTTTCCAAGTGTATATTATCATGTATTATTCTTGCCTGCATTACAGAGAATGCAAGTCAAGGAACTTCAACCGTTCCCAGTAATTTAGGTGTTTTATAATACTTGTGTGTGCCATGAAGGTTCTCTGTATATTCTCCAGATCAGCAATTTCACCTGCCTTGAAAGGCACTGTAAGTGTGCAGCAATATTCCAGCCTAGAGAACAAGGGATCTGAAGAGGGTTTGGCATTCCTAGTTTTGAAGGTTCTCATTATCCATTCTATCATTTTTCTAGATGTGATGGATACATTGTTGTGATCTTAGAAAGTGAGATCCTCTGACATTATCACTCCAAAGGTCCTTGTGTGGCTGGAATTTGTTTTATACTCCAATATAGTTTTAATTTCCTCAAGTTTTCCATATCAGAGTAATTGGAATTTCTCTTCATTGAACTTCATATTATTTTCTGCAGCTCATTTAATGTTTTGGTTTATGTCCACTTGGAGTCATGCAAATTCGGGTGTCATCTGTTTATTTATTTATTTATTAATTTGAACATGATACAGAGAAGTACAAAAGAATACAGTTAAATGCAGCATGCCAAAGCCACTTGAATGCATAGCATTATGGGCTGGCTTAAAATTAACTTAAGATTAACTAAGCAATGAAGTATTCAGTGGTAAAACATTATTGTAACATCTGTGAAGGAAGACATGGTGCTATGGCTTACATCCCTGTCTATGTCAGATATGAGGATGATGAACAGGATGAGGGTGAGTACTGTGCCTTGTGGAACAGAGCTTTTCACTGTAGCCGCCTCAGACTTTACTCTGTTTACTATTACTCTTTGTGTTCTATTTGTTAGGATGTTACAGATCTGGAGTTTACCTGGAGAGAGTTCCAGGGGTCAACGCCCCCGTGGACTGGTCTGTGACCAGGCCTCATGGTGGATCAGGGCCTGATCAACCAGGCTGTTACTGCTGGCCGCACACAATCCAACATACGAGCCACAACCTGGCTGGTCAGGTACTGACTTCAGGTGCCTGTCCAGTGCCTGCTTGAAGACAGCCAGGGGTCTATTGGTAATCCCCCTGATGTATACTGGGAGGCAGTTGAACAGTCTTGGGCCCTGACATTCATTGTGTTGTCTCTTATCGTGCTAGTGGCGCCCCTGCTTTTCATTGGGGGGATGTTGCACCGTCCGCTGAGTCTTTTGCTTTTGTAGGGAGTGATTTTCGTGTGCAAGTTTGGTACTAGTCCCTCTAGGATTTTCCAGGTGTATATAATCATGTATCTCTCCCTCCTGCATACCAATTTTTCCTGTTATTTTTTA